GCACGGTGCGCTTCTGCCTGTCCTGCCTTTGGTGGGCGACTCTTGTGCTGCCCTGGGAGCTGTTTGTGGCTTGCTGTCGCCCTATGGGCAGGAGCTGTGCCGCCTGCCATCGCCCTCCTGCTGCTCCGCCGGGGATCCGCAGTGGGCAGGGCGGCTGCCAGCCAGGAATCTCACCTTCCCGCTCCCGCTCTGCCCCGGCAGGAGCAGAGCTCAGCTGGTTTTCCTTGGCGTTTGCCTGTGCCTACAGCTTCTCCCTGGCTGAGGCTGGGAGCAGCGTCCCTTGAGCCTGGCTCATGAATCCTGGTGGCTCAGCCACGGAGGGCATCCAGCGGCTTTGGCGGAGTGCAGCGTGCCCTGTAGCATCCGAGCTGTTGTGCTGTGCACTCCTGACCACCCCTTCTCATCATATATGGGAAATCAGATTCCATCTCCTTCATGAGGCTGCAAATCCCGTTCATCTTCCCAAGCCATGCCTCTATGAACAGATTAGTCTGCTCTTGCAGAGTATTCTAGACATCAACTGTATCTGTGGCAGGATCCGTCTCGCCCATCGTTAGACCAGGAGGCTCTGGAGGTGGACACGTGTAGTTGCCTGCATTGCCCACGGAGAGAGAAAATGGCATCCTGGGGGTATGTTCCAAGCCATTCAAGCTGGCCATCTCAAATAGGGCAGCTGAGCAACACCCAGAAAAATTACCTCTGATTTATCCTGTCCTGAGGGCTGTTTGCCTAAAATGCTTCAAAGCATCGTGAACTTCTGAATCCCGTGTGGAGGGCACTGGAAGCACCCTAGCCCTGGCTTCAAAAGGAACGTTTACTGCTGTATTATTTATTTAGATACTCGCTGTTCAGGTGTTCGTTGGCATGGGGGGGTGTAATCCAGTTCCTGAAGGTATTAAGGACTTCAGCTCTGAGCTCTCCCCATGTCTCAGTCGGAGACGTGCTACCAAACGGAAGCAGCAAGCGCGCTGTTATCCTCGCCGAATCCCTCCCGGTGCAGCAAGGCCTAAGTGCCTGTTTGCATTAAGGTCCCTTCTTCTCTCTGCCTCTCAGAGTGGAATAATTCTGCCTTTGACTGGCAATGTGATCCACCGCCTGCCCGTGCCCAACCTGAAAGATGAGCGTCACCACTTCGGGGTGGAATGGAGGCATCACGCGTTTTGTAGGTGTGTCATCAAAGAAAAGGAACAAGCTGAGTCTTCTGAATTTAATTTTTTCCTCATTTTGTGTGGTGGATGTGAGGACAAACTTCCGGGCTCCCTGGCTGTGTACGCTATGCCGAAGGTAACATGCCTCTGGGAGGGAGATGGGATCTGGAGCTGTTGGAACAAGATACAAGGAAGAGGAGTTTTGGATTACCCCTCGATGCTTGTGTAGGCAAATATGTAACTGGGGCTCATCAGTAGGCACTGACAATGCAAGTCATTAAAAAGGAGATCTTAACTTAGGAACAGGAGGGGAGACACTCACATTAGGATACAGTTCCTTTTGTCCATAATACCAGCTTTCCTGTTCTTTTCCCGAGGAGGTTGGTGGATTTGGAAGGAACTTGGGCGGCTTTGCATGCTCCCGAAAGCGGCTTCTCTCCTGGAGCCTGCTCACCTGACGTCGGGGTGTACCAATGCAAGGAAGAGCCCGCATTCCTTTCTCTGTTTGCAAATGTAGTTGTCAGAGAAGGACGTAAAGTGACTTTTTTCAGCAGACTTTGTCCACAACTGGAATCACCACGGTTTAGTATGTTCTGTAGGAGCCGTGTCTTACTCCTGTGGTCTGATTGAGAAAGAACAGTTCCTCCACTGGCCTGTATCTGCACCTGGCAGACCAGCGCACCCCGTGCCCTCCCATTGCCACGTTCCTTTCTATCTGCAGTGCAATTTCATGTTTCTTAGTTGCCCTGCGTTTTCCCTCGCCCACCAGAAGCTTTCTGGTGAGCGCATGCATCAGCCTGCCAGCTTCAAAAAATCGTCCCCTTTTCCTCTGCTTCATGTTCGCTGCTGATGGGAGAGCTGGGACCGCTCCGCACACACGCTGCCCACAAGTCCTTGGTGCCTACTGATGGAATGCCAGCCCCCCCAGCAGTTCAGGGAGGAATGACAAATAGGAGTTGGGGCTCACGCCGTGCATTTAAATTTGTCAGCAAAGCTCTGCTTCGGACCTTCATCAGAACCGATGGGCAGCTGCTTGTAATCAGCCTCCCCGCGGGGCAGGGTCGGTAGGCAGCGAACACGGACGTGTGGAGCCGGGGGGGCTCCAGGCTCACGCTCTCTAAGCCACATCTTGAAGAAGTTAACAGAGAACTTTGTTCAGCTTCCCGTACCACGTCGGCAGCTTGTAAATCAACCTCCAGACCTTGCCCCTACTGTTCGAGGTGATGAGTTGGGCCTGTTTTGACACAAGGGTTGGATGATGCGGTTTTCCTTCTGCTCCTCAAGAGGGGAATGGGCTGGAGCAGAGTGAAACCCTCGGGAGATGGGGAGCCGGGGGAGGTCTAGGACAACGCACCTCTGCTGGCATTTTTTGCTGGGACACTGGCACTGTCTAAAGCCTTTCCAAACTCTGCTGCGCTCAGGGTGCTTAGTGCCTGGCTGCCCTGTTTGGACGCGACAGAGGGCCGTAGAGAGAGTGCGGAGGCCAGGTCAAAATCATGGGAAAGGGGGATTTAAGCATGCAAGACGATGAGCAGTGCTCAGGCAGCCTGGGGAACCTCCAGGCTGTTCTGGCGGGGCGAGGTGGGAAGCGAGAGAACGTCCCTGCTGGAGAAGTGGGGAAGGCTGGAGACGGCTCCTGTAGCCGGGGGAGTTCTTGCCTGGGTGTTCAGAGCAGGCTTAGTGTCCTTGGTGAAGAAAGGTCTTCTCCCAGCACATCCAGTGCGCTGTGCCAGGCTGCATCAGATTGCAACACCCGGTCTTGCCCATTATCAAAATTATAGCATGTTCTTCCCGGCCAGGGTTGGACGAGCTGGTCGGGAGGAGGGGAGTCGTTGCCGCCTCAGTGTGGGCTGTGCAGTGAAGCCCCTGATTGCTTTTCCGTGTCGTGGCTTCCCACCTCCACCTGCCGCAGGGAGCTTCTCCCGGGCCGAGAGCAGAGCACGCTGATTGTGTTCCCCGCCAACCATCGCTTGGCTAATGAGTGGAAGGCTAATGAAGTTTTTAATTAGCAGGTGTGCCGGTGCAAGAAGAAGGGGCAGTGAGACAGGCACATCGTGGCAGTGAAAGCGTGCACAGGAGGCATCAGCCGAGCTCCCAAAATTGCCTCTGATGGAGCAGGAGCTTCTTGCGTGTCCTTGGGCCTGGCCGTGCTTCCTGCCAGCAGGCAAAGGGCGGCAGCCAGCCAGGTACGGTGCCTGAACCTGCCTCTTGGTTTGGGTTGGAGAGAGATGGGCCGTTCTGCCCGGCTCGGAGCGCATGGGAGAGCACTGGTGAGCTCTGTGCAGGGGAGCAGAGGAGAGGGAACGGCCGTTCTGAGTTGCTCCGAGGCGGACAGCTAGCTCCAGCTGCAGAGCTGCTCCTCAACCGCGGGCTTCCTTCTGATTCATGAGATGTGAGGTCTCCAAATCTGCCCGGTGCTGATCGGATGCCAGGTTGGCTCCCAACACTGGCACCTCTTTGTGAGCCCAAGACAAGCTTGTGGCCCTTAGGAGATGTGGATGAGTTTGCCCCTGAGAACTAGAGATGGAGACAGATTCTTCCCTTCCACTTGCGCAAGTGTGGTCCCAAACACACGGCATGTTGTCAACACGTGTGGGTTGCAGTGTGATGAACCGGAGCGTTGACAGGCTACAGGCACTGCAACAGGCAGTCCCAGGCTGAAAGCTGTCCCAGGCAAGCAGTACTGAAGTCTTTGTGCTGCATTTTACAGAAAAGGCTGTACCAGCGACTTCCACATCTCTGCAGAGTTTGCTGTTGAAGGGTGGGATGTGCAAACTCCTGCAAATGCCATGCTGCAAACCCTGTTCAGAAGCAGATATCTAGAAAATAAACGCCTTTGAGAATTAGTGTAGAAGGGCTGTGGCTGTTCTGAATCCAGGAGAAATCTGGCAATACCCTGCCAGGCTTAGAAAGCAGCGCTCCTCCCCGAATCATAGATTCATAGAATCATAGAATCACTTTGGTTGGAAAAGACCTTTAAGATCATCAAGTCCTTCACCTTCAGAGCGCTGCTGGCTTCCCACAGCTAAAATAAAAGTGTTTAACGTTCATAGAGCCATGAGCGGGGCAAGAGCCGGTGTTCAGCACCCTGGCTCTGACAGCGTTGGCCTGTCAGTCTTTGGTCTATCCAGTGTAGGCGTGCGATGGTCTTTCATTGCGTCCCCACGCCATTTGGAGACGGTGACATCCTGTACACATCAAACCTGGTTTTACACTCACCCACTGAGGTCCAGTGTGGAGCCCAGTCCCTTAACCCAGTTTGGCCTGGTGCAGCTGAACTACCCTATGTGCAGTGTAGCTCTTTGATGCCTCTTTCTTCTGGCATCCTTTGCAGTTCCTCCTTACGGATGCTAGTTTTTCTGACATCCAGGAAAGGTTCCTTTGTCGGGGTCCTAGGTGGATCACAGAATCGCAAGGGTTGGAAGGGACCTCAGGAGATCATCTAGTCCAACCCTCCTGCTAAAGCAGGTTCTCCTAGAGCATGTTACACAGGACTTTGTCCAGGTGGGCTTTGAATACCTCCAGAGAAGGAGACTCCACAGCCCCCCTGGGCAGCCTGTGCCAGGGCTTGGTCACCCTCAAAGTAAAGAAATTTTTCCTCATACTCAACTGAAATCTCTTATGTTTCAGTTTGTGCCCATTGCCCCTTGCTCAGTTAAACGGGCTGCTCTAATGCTGTGGAAGAGCCTTCCAGAAGTGTCTCCATTCCATGCCTGATTTAATATGAGGATAGAGTTTCTTTCCGTGTGGTTACTCTTGCCCAGGGTCTCAACTTCTTTCAGAACACAAGGCTTTCAGCCATTGCTGTGCATGCTTTCTCCTTTCATCCATCATATTTTTTTAACACCTTCTCCTTGCCTTGTAGTGAACCTTGAAGTACCTGGGACGCAGCTTGTTGGGAGTAACCGTACATCGACTGGTGGCATGGAAGTGTCTGCCTGTGGTAGGTAACGATCCCTCTCCAGGCTGCCTTCGCCTCTTGCGCCGAAACTGCTGAGATGGATTTCTGCTAAACAAACCACGAGTTATTCCAATTGCAGCAGTTTGATGCTCCTTGCTTACAGAAAAGACCAAACATTTGGCTGCTGCTGTGTCCACTTGTCACGTGTTTAAAGTGCTGCTCTGGAAGCCATCTAATTACAGCCCTAGTGAGATGGGCTAAGCCGTCCTCTCTTCTGATAGAGATCTCCCGAGGGCTCCTTTAATGGCGCTGTCAGATGTTTCTGCATTCCTACATGGAGCAATTACTTACCCCGTGTAATTTGCCCACTGATTAAGGACTTCTTCCACAAGATGTGATACTCGTTCATGCTCCACGGCGCTTGCTGCTTTCTTGCTGCTTTAGGTGGCAGCCAGGGTCATGGTGGTCTCGGGAGGGGACCCTTCTTCCAAAACGCTTCTCTCCGCCACCACAATCCCTTTAGCCGAGGTCTCTGCTGTTCCCGTGGGGTTTTGTGGCAGTTTAGCCCTGTTTCAACCACACTGGTGCCAGGCACTTTGCGGAGCTGGTGCCTGCCGTGGGGCCTTGGCTCTTAATTGACCAGACTGGTGGGGAGGGCAAGTGGCCACTGCTCAGGCACTGTTCCGCTGTGCGGAACTGCCCTGAATCCTGAAGGTTCCTCTTTCCCACGGCTGGGCCGGCTTTCCCCCATGGAGATAGAAAGCAGGGAGGCAGCAGGCACGGCTTGGCCTCGTGAGGGCTGCATCAACAGGGGCACGGACTGTACCTCCTTAGGCACCCGCTTCTCGCCTGGTGTCTCCTCCAGCTGCTTGGTCTCTGCGGTCTCCTCTGATTTCCGTGCCCCCTGTGTCCTGTGAGCGCTGTGTGCCAGTTCCCAGCCCTTAGAGCCCAGAAAGCCTTCTTTCTGGTAGAGGCAGCTCTGGCCCTGGCTTGCTGAGTTGACACCGGGCAGCCCGTGCCTTCAGCTCAGCCCTCGGGCAGAGACGTGCCTTCTGTCAGGGTCCAGATTTCAGAGGTGCCTTTGGTGGCCTCCGCAGGCTCAAACCTTGTAATTTGCAGAGGGCTGCTGGTGGGGCCGCTTATCTAGCTGGACTTCTCATCCCTCGTGTGGAATTTGCAGGCACTGCACATTGGCATGGCAGGAAGCTGTGCACGGGGGATGGCTGTAATTAGCGTGTGTCTCGGCCGGGACCTGGAGGCCTCCAGAACCAAAGAAGTCCCACTGGGAGTCACCAGAGCCCCGGGATCAGATATGGGAGGTTGTGTTTAAGGAAAAGAGCTGCATGGACCAGCAGATTTTTCCTCTCGATTGGTGGTTAGCAAGGCGGAAACAAGGCACGGCGCTGGCCTGGCACCTCCCAAACGCTGAGGAGCAATGGCTCCTCCCTTGGCAGCTTGCTTTCTCCCCCCACCCCTTGCCTTGTATATAAGGCCCCCTGAGAGCAGCCCGGGCACACCACAGCCCACTCCAGCGAGGCAGACGGCAAGCTGCACCTCCAGGTCCAGCACCTCTGCTCTTGAGGAGAGGGAACCAGACGGCCTTCGGCATGGGTAAGAGATTCTCTGCAGCCTCCCCACAGCCCCCAGCAGCTCCAAGGCTTGTAGCTCCAGCCAGGGTCTGGCTCCAGCTGCTGCCCAGAGGCTGCAGACACCCCACCTTGAAACCGAGTCCCACCTGGGCACGGGCAGGTTTGTTCCTCTGCGGCGCTGCCGGAGGAGAGAGGTGGGATGGACAGTTGGCGTTCGGTCCAACTGGTGCCCAAGGTCTCTTTTGCCTCACTGCCTGTCTGCTTCCAGGGGCTCCTTTTTGCCTTGAAAAGCCACTTCCACGTGGCTGCAGCATGCGTGGGGAGGGGAGCCTCCCCTGCTGCTGGGGAATGGTCAGGGAGACAGGAAACCAGACTTACTTTCCAGGCGAGACCTTCAATAGTGCCCTGGTTCTCGGTGGAAGCTCACTTTCCTTCATGGGGCACAGAGGATGAGGAGGGACCTGAGCAGCGGTTTGATCTGTGCTACCCTGGGTGTCTCTTTAGGGAGAGATCCTCTCCTGGAGTGGAGATGTTCTCCTGCCACAACAGAAGTCACTGCTGGTCCCAGAGGTGCCCGCTGATGGCTGGGGTGGGAGAAGGTCCATGGGGTGGGACAGAGTCTTCTGCACGGGCACCTTTTGGGGATGTGGACGCTTCTCATTTCACTCTTCTTTTCTTCTCCAACCAGACAGATGCAAAGTTCAGTGCTATGAGTACCCCACCTGCCCTGACGTTGTGAAAGGCAAGTCCTCCTGAGCCGGATTTGGAGTGGGGGGTATCTGGGAAAGAGCTTGGCATTAGTGGAGACCGCCCTCAGTTACCGGTGTGTGCTGAGCCCCTTCCCCCAAAGGGGGAAAATGGGAACTCCATGGAGATCCACTTTTGGTGTTCCTTTACCTCTGGGTCAGTAATGGAACCAGGGATCAGTGGGCGAGGAAGGATGGGATGGGATGCGATGGGATGGGATGCGATGGGATGCGATGGGATGGGATGGGATGGGATGGGATGGGATAGAACAGAACAGAACAGTTCCAGCTGGAAGGGCTTACAACGACCATCTGGTTCAGCTGCCTGTAGGAAGGGCCCAGCATCCAGAGAAATAAGCTCAGTCCTATCTGAGAGTCTGTGGGAGCTTTTCCTTTCCTTCCTGCCTGGTTCATGGCGGGTTTTAACACGAGCTTTCTGTATACCCAGTTCCGAGAGAGGAGATCGCCTATGTGACCTGTACCTACCGGTCAATGTGCATCGACCAGCCTGACTTCCTGGCCACCATTGATCTCGACCCCAGATCTCCATGTTATGGCCAGGTACCTGTGTCTTGACTGTGCTTTTACTGGGCTGTTGGCCAGCTGCTGGCTCTGTGCTTTGTGGTGCCCCCAGATTCAGGAGATTTACTCTTTTTTGGTGGCCAAATCCAGATTGCTCTGTCATGCAGGCTGCCTATGCCTTGCACCTTCTTGTCTCCCTACATCCTCCCGTCTCATCCATCTGCTCAGCATGGAAAGTGGTCTCTAGGTCCCAGGTGGTTTAGGGCATCCAGCACTTCTGCTGAGGTCAGCATGTTTCTGTGGTGCTGCGAGGGCAGAGGGGTTCTGCTACGCACTGTGCCAGCCCGCCTGCTGTCATCCGGCACGGGGAATCGGCGTTTACCTGTCTCTGAAGGCTGCAAAGTCAGGTTCTCTGCAACTACTGTGCATCTTTGAACTGATCCATCCCATTTAAGCTTTCCCCTTTCCACAGATCTCCTTTAGTGCAGGGAGCGGTGTTACCATCCCTAAATTCTTGGTTGCCTTGAAGTCCCCACTTCTCCCTGGGTGAACCCTACCTCTACCTTGACTGCCTAGGTGATCCACCGCCTGCCCATGCCCAACCTCAAAGACGAGCTGCATTCCTCGGGCTGGAGCGCTGGCTGTACCTGCTTTGACAATATCACAGTGAAAAGGAGCAAGCTGATTCTTCCCTGTTTGATTTCTTCCCGCATTTACGTGGTGGATGTGGTTTCACAGTGCCGGGCTCCCAGGCTGTGTAAGGTATGCCTGAGGGGGTTCAAAGACAAGTTTCTGGGAAGGAGTTGGGAACTGGTACTTCTGGACTAATACCCAGGGAAGAAGGGTTCTCTCTTCACCTTCTCTTCCACCCTGGATTTAGAGAGCTGGGTCACGTTTCCCTCACGGCTCTCTCCTTTGCGGGCCAAGGACGGCTCCGATCATCATCGTGATCCTTTCTCTGTGCCTGTTGCTTCCCGAGAGAGTCTAATAAGTGGAGTCACACCACAGCCATGCAAGCTGTTACGAGTGAGGCGGTGCTGCGTTCCCGTTGTCTGCGTAGAGGGGAGCTCGGAGGCTTCTGAGCTCGTCCCCAAGGAGGAGTGGGGCCTAGCAAGGGCGAGGTCTTGGGCAGAAAGCTCCTGCAAGCGCCAGAGATTGTCAGAAGTCTCCGATGGCCAAAGGCTCTGCCGGGGAGTGTGAGCTGAGCTGAGCTGAGCAGTGGGAGGCTGAAGCACACGTGTGTCGCCTTTTTCCAGATGATTGAGCCCGTGGAAGTCTTCTGGAAGTGCAACAAGGGATACCTCGGTGTGGTTCACAGCCTGCCTAATGGTGACATACTGATTTCCAACATGGGAGACCCAGCTGGCAATGGAAAAGGTGCGTTTTCCCATAGTCATTCCAGTAACCATTCCTCTGAGAAAAATACCGGGCTTCAAAACTGCAGACTTGGAGAGTTTCAAGCAGCCAGCTTGAGATACTTGCTCAGAAGTCCCAATCCTCCTGTGCCGGCATAAGCACAGCGATCCCCCAGGAGCCTGAGGTGCAGAGCATGGACACGGAGATACGTGCTAGAGGAAAAGCCGGTCCCTTCCGCGGGTTCAGGCTCTCAGCCTACGTGTCTTGGCGTGTCCTAGCATGGCTTGATGCCCCGACTGCGTGAGAGCGGGGAGGTGGGGCGAGCACTGCCAGCACGGGTAGCTTGGCCGCTGGAAGCAGTCAAGTGAATATTAGCCTGGGATCATTTCTGGTCCCCAGAACTCCTGCTTAGCAGGTACAGGGACCTATAAGCACATCCGTACCCAGCAGAGAGCTGTGCAGCCTTTGCAGCTCGGTATCGGAAGGCATAAAGTATTGGGAAGACCCTGGCTGTCTCAGCTGGGCTGATGCACAAAGCACGTTACCTGTTGGGAAGCGCAGTGTGGGATTTGTCACGTGGCCCCTTCTTGTTCACAGGTGGCTTTATTGTGCTGGATGGAGAGACCTTTGAGCTGAAGGGGAACTGGGAAAACGTGTGTGAGGTCCCCCCCACGGGGTACGACTTCTGGTACCAGCCATGCCACAACGTTCTGGTCAGCTCTGCCGGCTTAGTCCCAAAATGTGCGGGGTATGGATTTGATCCGGACGACTTTGGGAAAGGTGAGGGAACAGGGGTGCAAGTGCTGAGCCAGAACTCACCGAGGCGGTGGGAGCTGCTGCAGGACGTGCAGCATCTGCCCTTAAGACAGGCTGGTGCCTCTTCTCCCACTGCTCCCCAAATCACGGCAGTTTCTCTGCCGCCCCTAGCTGGAGGCTGCCATGGCTGTCCCTGTCTGTGAGCATTTTGGGGGGGGATGCGTCTCACGGGCAGCCCCCTCTCTCCTGACCTGGTTTTCCTTCTCCTCAGGGATCTTTGGGCGCCGACTGAATGTGGGGACCTTGCCCTGCCACACTCTCATCCAGTGCTTTGACCTGGGCGAGGACTCTCTGCCCCTCTGCGTTAAATTCCTCCACGACCCCAATGCTGCTGAGGGATACGTCTGCTGTGCCCTGAGCGGCATCGTCTACCGCTTCTACAAGTGCGAGGCAAGTGTTGTGCCAGCGGGCAGGGGAGACCCGGCCGTGGTGAGCTACGGGGGGTGGAGAAAGGTGCAGAAATAACAGGGGGCCGCAGAGAGGAAGGGGGAGGCGTGGGGCGGGCAGCACCCAGAGCCTGCTTTGGACGTGTAGGCTGGAGAGAGCGGAGCCTGTTCTTCCACGGA